TTCACAATTCACAAATCACAGACATCAGACATTTAGACCACAATATTATCTCAAGCTACTAATACTATAACCATAATTCACCAATAATCCAAATTATCCAATATTCCAATTGCTAAAGAAATTAAGAAAATACCTGATGGGTGATGATCCGGGCAAAGAGAACTCAGAGCAGTCACTGGACTCTGGAGAGTCCGTGGTCTGCAGAGGCCGGAGTGGGAGAGCGGCGGAGCCGGAGGCTAGAGTGTGGAGAAAAATCCTGCAAAATCAACATATTTGCTTTTACAATTCATAAACTCAACCAACCAACACAAAGAAATTCAAGGGAGAAAAAAGAAAAGTCCCAAAATGGAAAAATCTTCTAACTTCTGGATACTGCCTCTGCGTGCAATTCTTGGAAGTGCGACAGCGAGGAAGGCGCGAGGGACGCGAGGTGAAGGCTTCGAAGTGCGAAGATTAGATGGGTTGGAACTTGGATTCTTGGAAGTTCGGATTTCTGAAGATGCGGGGAGTGGGGACTGCGAAGCGAAGATGCCGGAGTTAGGGACCTGAGGTGCCGCCGTGCCGAGTTCTTGAGCAGTTGAGCAGTCAGCGGAGGCTGCGAACAGTGGAGGGCTGGACTTGGAGCGGCGGAGGCAGAGTCGAGCAGAGGATGAGACTTGAGAGGAAGGAATGATTTGTGAATTGTGAGTGTGAACGAGGTTTAATTTCTGGGCTCAAAGGTTTGGGCTTTTTCTCTTGGGCCAGACAAGTTTTCTGCGACGCTCAAGAAACGTTGCGAAAACTTGTCCACCGCAACATTTTTTTAAAAAACGTTGCTAAAACTCATTTATATTAACCAATGGCAACATTCACTTCCCAAAATGTTGCCAAAAGACCATTTTGGCAACATTTATCAACAAATGTTGCCTTTTAAATGTTGCTAATGACTATTTTGTTGTAGTGACATAAGGCACCATCTTAGCTTTCTTTGACCAGGTTCTCTCTCAAACATGTAGCATTTGTGATCTACCTCTTCTACCGTGTATCGATTGAAAAATAGGGCAACATGACCCCCAACCACGGGAGCTCTTACGTCCAGTATGCCCCTCCTAATTCCCACATGCTATGGTGCTCCAAGGTGGATAGGAGCGGGTCGAGTCCATATCGCCACGAAGCAATAGCAGCGTCCGAATTTACTCGGCAATTCATCCAGTGA